CCAGACTGCCAGGACTTCTCAAATATGATGTTTGCACAGTGTCCAGGCCTTCTCTATTTCTCACTCTTCCCCCCACCCAATGAATAGGCAGGACTGTGCAAGAGGTTGGGAGGGAACACAAGCAGGCAGGTGGCTAACCAAAGAGATATCACATGCCATGTAATGTCATGCCTCAGAAATGAGAAGGGAGAGGAGGGGGTTAGGGAGGTTAGCCATCTTTTGCTTGGGAACCGGCGAGGCATCAGTCTACCCATGGGAGGTGGCAAGTGGGTACCTTTGTGTCAGTTGTTTTGTTTCCTTTCTCTTCCACTTGTCTTCCACTTATTAAACAATGTTTTTGTCTCAACCCACAAGTTTTCTTGCTTTTACTCTTCCTTTCCTCTTCCCTTGTCTGCTGCAGGGGGAAGTGAGTGAGTGGCTGTGTGGTGCTTAGTCACCTACTGGGGTTTAGGCCACAACATGTTCACAAGATCCTATGGCAAGGAGTTCTTTAGCTTAATGATGAAAGTTAGCTTAAAGGTAAATAAACTTACAGAAGGGAAGGACCTCATATAGGATTGAATATATGAGACTACCTCCGGTTTAAGAAGTATCTGAACTAATTCTTGGAGACTGAAAGGGTGAAGGAGAGAACAGGGAGAAGCTAACACATGTACTTTCCCTCTTCTCTACCCTCATCCCATACAGTTTACCTTTGGCCACTTGTGTGGGGGGGAGTAGGCTGTATGGAGCTCTGGTCTGACCATATGGTCATTCTTACATTCTCTTTTAGATTCTGGCAAGGGGGATTACTGGAAAGATCTATTTGCTTAATATATTTTTAAATTACTCTAGTAATAGTTGGGCAAACTGAGCAATTGAAATTCTCAACTTAATGTTCTAATAAATGTCAGTGTAGTGGTTGCATTTGAAAATATGTAGCAGGTCTGTTGTGTCTGATCCACTCCAAGTCAGCCTCACAGACATGTAAGAGGAAGAGGAGTTACAAGACCTGCTGCAAATTTGTTCCAGAGAGTGAAGGAATAAAAGGTGAAGTAGCCCGCTTAGAGGGCTAGAAAACTGACTCTGTAAAGGAGTCAGCATACAAGAATATTTTTTATAAAAATTAGCAAGATAAATGGTTTCACAAGGAAAAGTGCTCTTGCTCTCTAGTTCAGTAGGTCACAGTTTCACTGATGTGTAAGTGTTCTCTCTTCCAGTACTGTGACATTGCCAATATGCTAACACTTCTTCTGTTGCTTCCTACTGTTCCTGTACTAGAATTCAAGCCAGATTGGCTTCAGTGCCTGCAGATGTTTCTACACAAATGCTTACAGACATTAGTAAATACCTGCTTCATGGTTAGAAGGGGATTCCTATAGAAATAGTGGGAACCAAACATTGCTAGGGCTCCCATAAAAGTGGATTACATGTCAGTGTTCTTTGTATTGTATTTAATCTTAATGAGTTGAAAGTTTAGAGAGATAAGGAAAAGAGGGACAAAAATAACAGCAGAAAGGCTGTGGGACTAACCATAAGATGACTTCATATCATCCAAGTTCCATGCTTATAGGCACTATAGAAAGCTATTTTCAAATGTACTGGTCTTTTGAGATTTGAGCTTTGGATAATTTCTTCAGTAGGTAGTAGGGATAAACTCACAGTGTATGTAACCTTTCCTCCAGTACAACTAGGGTTTCCCTGTCCCTCCTGCCTGCCTGTTTTCACAGTTCATCAAGTTAATGCATCTTTCAGGCTGCAGCCTCTGTCAAATCTGCCTGAAGCTGACTGAGAAATTCAAAGCTAGTGGGATCACAGAAGGGACTACTATGAGTGTGCATATGCAGATACAGAACATCTATAAACCTTTTTTTTAGACAGCTAGAAATTTTGATTGATACATCTTGTTTGTTTGTTTTAACACTGTTACTGTGATCTTTAGAGCTGAGTACACTACAGTTTTAGAGCACCTATCAAGCAAGTGTCAGAATTAAACCTAAATTTCTGGTATAGTTGTTCAGAATATTGTTAGTAGGCTGCAGCCAAAATAAACCTTTTGTAAGGTAAGTGATCTTAATGTTCTTGAGGGTTGTGAACATGGCACATCCTGCTTTACACTGAGGAATCCAACGCCCAGGAATATGGGACTTAGGCAAATCTACTTAGGGTGTGTTGTATTAGTATGGTAAAGTGTTTAATTTTGCCGTGAATTGAGATTCTGACTTTCGGTCTGGTTTTTTGTTTTTGTTTCTTTTTTTTCTTCTACAGGACAGTTTGCAGAAAATGAAACAAATGAGGTCAATTTTAGAGAGATCCCATCCCATGTCCTATCCAAAGTATGCATGTATTTCACCTACAAGGTCCGCTATACTAACAGCTCTACGGAGATTCCTGAATTCCCAATTGCACCTGAAATTGCACTGGAACTTCTGATGGCTGCAAACTTCTTAGATTGTTAAATAAAATAAATTATAATAAAAAATGTAAAACTTTTTTCAGTATTTAATACATGTAGTTCAGTTAGTAACTTTTTTCAGATAGCATGTTGCGTGTGTGCTGTTGAGAACTGTAAAGTTCACTGCAGAGGCAATTGCCTTCAGTCCTTTTGCATATAGCAATCATTCAGTTGAAGTTTGTTTTGCTGCTTACACAAATAAGGACCTTTTCACAAACTGAGACAAATAAACAAATATGCCAATTAGTAGATGGCTATGCCTTATCCTTTAGGTGTGGTAGAACTTTCTTTTAATAAAATGACTATAGAAGATACTGGAGTTTAGTCTAATGCTCTCTGAAAGGTAATTCTAGTTAAATACGAGTAGGTGTTTAGGGTTTCTAACTTTCTCTTATTGTTAAGGTTTCTAAACATCTGAACTTAATCTCCTTTGTAAGATAGCTGTCCTTTAGCATAGTTATACTAACTAGATTAGAAGTGCCCTCCCTAAGGTTTGTGTACTGACAGCGATATTCCATTTAGGTTGAAAGTGGAGTGTGTAGGAGAATGCTTAAGGCTTTTAATTTAAATCATAGTATAGACATACGTAAAGGTGTATTTGACACATTTTTCTTTTATAACGTAAATTTTTCCCATTAGTAATTACACATATTCAAGTCGTCTGTACAGTAAGACTGTGATCCTACTGGCAGTGGCTTTTAAGGGGAAGAATAACTGTTGCAATCTGTTTATATTATCTCTTGTATAACATATAAGGTTATTCTTAATGTACTGTCACTTGAGCTGATACGGATTTTATATGGCTTCAGTTATGTTTTATTTCCATTGTTGTGATTGGTTATGTAAAGTCTGTATTTAATCTTTAGAGTAGTAGTCATTTAAATTTTGTAACATAGCAACTGAAAAGATAGCAGTTATCCTATCTTTTACCTCTTCCTCGACCTCTCCCTTGCATCCACAGAAAAAAGACCCTGAAATGTGGAGGTCTTTTATATTTGAAGGAAAGGACATTAAGCAGATGTTTAAGGAGCTGTTTTATAAATTTCATAGGTATTTCCAATGTTTTTACAAATATTTTAGGGGAAAAGGATTGGCAAGCCACTGACATAATACTAGAGTGGAACATATCATCTCTTGGTAGTTCCTGCTGGTAGTTGCCTATACTACCCGTTCTTTGTTCAAAACAAGTTTCCATAAAGGAAAAAAAAAAAAAGAATGGAGAGAAGAAGTTGCTTTTTGTTCAGCTGTAGCCTGAAGAACCCTTCTGCCAAAATAATCTGTAAATGAGAATAAATCTAATGCATCGTAAAAAATGATGCAGTGCAATGTAGTTAGTATTTCCATCAGCTGCCACTGCTTCAGCTTTGTTTTGACCAAGAAGTGGTTGTGGTCTTTCATGGAAAAATCCCACCAACAGATGGTGGGACCTTTTTACTGATGTATTCACTCATGGTGAATTTAGAGGGCTGAAACTCTGCTCTAAACCTGTTTGCCAACGTAAATACAACTTTGAAGACACTTTTTTCTGGACAAAAACTAGTAACTTACATACGCTATGCAGTCTGCCCATGGAGGAGTTCAGTTCTGACAAATGAAATTTTACCCTGGGCTTGAACGATGCTTGATAGACCAGCTGACATTTGTCAATGTGTTGCTAGATTAGCTGACATTTATTCACATTGCATACTTTGGCACAATTCATTGTGTTTAATGTGGGGATGTTTATGACTAGATTGGTTTTGCACGATAAAGCTGAAGTGCATCGCAAGGCGATTGTCTAAAATCCTATGTTTAAGCACTCTGGTCAGTGCTGTTAGTAACTCATTTTCAAGAGCACTAAAAAGGATAAACACAAACCAGAGATCCCTGTTATGCTGCTTTTGTTAGAGCCACTAGGAATACCCTAAAAGGTCAAGGAATACCGACATGGATATTTTAGTCCTAACTACATTTCAGTCTGAGGGAGTCTTAAGTTCTTTAGCCATTTTTAATAGTCTTGAGGTTAATGACGTAAAGGTCAAAATTATTTAGTTCAAAATTGAACTAAAAAGGATGTATTTTTTTTTCTTTTTAAGCATTCCAACACAATCTCCTGTTACAATATATTGCATTTTATGATTCCATACTTCAGCAGTAAGGTAAAATACCTGGTTTAGTCCTGAATAATAATTTCATTGTTTTTCCTTCAGCTTAATGTATCATACAGTAGCTTTGAACACTCAGGAAATGCAGTAGTGTCCTGGAGCGCACTATTTGCAAAACCATCGGCTGTTAAAACTAACCTGCAGATTTCTAAGGGGGAGGGGGGCAGAGGGAATTAGTGCAATTTCCATGATAGTGACATGGGTATGCTATTATCAGACAATTGGAAACTTACCACGCTTAACCCCTGAGTTCTAAATAAATTTCAAAATTGAAAATTTTTAAACCTGTGTTTCTGTTGATTTATGACTTCTCAGAGCAAGTAGTATCATATGTAGTATCATAGTTTTCACAGTTATGTGGTGAGCAAATTGATAGTATAGTCACTATTTTGGTAGAAGGTGGTAAAACTGCATGTATGAAATGAAAGTTTTTTTCATGGTTCTGAAGAGTTTCATAGATTTAAAGTGTTCAGATATCTTTGTGCTCCTCTGAATTACCAGTATGGGCAATTCTCAGGAGCAACCAAGTACTAAAAAAGGATGGTATTCCTGAACACCCTTAAAGAGGATTATTTCAAAGACTTTAGATGTCCCATAAGACTCCATTTTAATTAGTAACCCAGTCCTGCATCTGATGGTTCAAATCTTAAACTGAACAACTGATTTAGCAATGAAAACTTGCAGGTTCTTTACTAACTGTAAGCAATGAGAAAAGTCCTGCTGGGTTATGGTTTTCCATTGTTTGAGTATAAGCTGCTGAAGGAGTCTCAGATGGTTTCCAGCATGTAATAGTGTGCATCTGGAACGATCAGAACTCTGCTCCACAAGATACGAAAGTCCTTTTTGGTTTTGAAGTTGAAGAAAGGAAGATTCACCGTCAAGATTCACCACACCATTATATTCAACAGCTGCGGTGAACAGCATGTCTAAAAGGAATTTCTTAACAGTAAAATTGGTTGCTTTGTTTGCATTTTATCACTGCATATTGTATTTCACAGGCATAAGTTCCAACAGTGGCTGTTTGTTTTTATCACCCTGTCTTGTTTTCTCTCTTCCCATTGAAAGAGGTTTCCCAACGCTTGCCTAAATCTGTTGGTTTATGTGATAAAGTGGACAAGGAAATCAATGGGGCAGGAAAGTTAACTTTTCAGTCTGTGTTTTGTGTCCCTAGTTTTATTTATTTTAAGTCTCAAATGTTGCAGTATAATTTAAGAGAGTAACAGCTACTGCAGAGTCAACAAAAGCACCATGGTAGTGTGTAGGTACTAGTGAGAAATAGCAGTTTTCCTAGCTGAAAACTTAAGAGTGGAGGCTGTGCTGTAAACTTAATTTCAACAATCGAATAAGAGATAAATAGCAGGAACACATTATTTTAAGATTGAGTGGATCTGGAAATTAAATTATGCTGGTGTTTAAAGACAGACGAAAGCTTTGCAATTAGCAGAAAAGGCATTAGGTAGTTTTTCCCATGGAAAAAAGTTCAACTCTGAAGGATTTTTTTGACAAATAATAAACTGGATTGGAATTTTCTTTCTTTTTAAATGTAACTTATTAGGTGGCAATTTTATGGGAGGATACCAATGTTGTGAACTTGATGTGTTGCCCAATGACTGGAAGAGCTAGAAAAGAGCACATAGTAGATTCTGTGATTATTATCAGTCACCTATGAAGCTTGTTTGTCTCTGTGCTGAGAACAGCACAGAAAAAAAGAACGGTGAGTTTTTATCAGTTCAAGTTTTAACAAGTGTAATGAACTAAAGCTTCGAGTATGTTACACCTAAAATGTAGGTTGTGGTGCAATCTCTCTTCTATGGGAGAAAGGTCACTGAGAGAAAAAAAAGGAAAAAAAAGATAACTTCTCCCTGTCATTGCCATGTTACTGTTTTACGTTTACAGAAGACAGGATTTTCCTCCCACACTACACGGGAGGAAAATGAGATTCAAGATTGTGATTGCGCTTTGACAAATGGAGTACTTAAACGTTTTATCCACTTAAGTGCTCAGACAGTTTTCATTATGTTAATAATGTAATGTTTTGTAGCCTGACTTTTTGAAGGTAGAATTTGAAAATTAAGTTAAAATTGCCTCTGAAAGATGTACTACATTTTAGATCAGTGAAGGTAACAACTTGAGAGATTTTAGATAAATTAAATCTTGTAGAGTGCTAAAGTCACTGATTTTCAGGATAGTTTTCTTTCCTCAACCAGAAGATACTTTAAAGTTAAAAACAAATACTGTTAATTCCTTTAATGTTAATTCAAATTTAAAATTGCCTTTTCAGGTGAGAATTCATAGCTAAAGCTTTTCTTCCCATGAGAAAAATAATACTGGTATCCTGTTTGCACTTAATAATAGAAAACCTTTATCTCCACAATCACCATTACACAAAACCATAAGTAATACATAATTCATGTCTTGTGTTGCTATAAATTCCTGTTACTCTATCTAGTAAAACAATGGGATACTTGTTATGCAGGTTAATTCACTCTTACATAAATAGTTCTCAGTTTTGGTTGGTATCACCAAGCCTGAAAAATATCTAGAATCTAAATGCATTTGGCACAAAGGATTTAATTTCCTCGTTTTATACAGGGGAAAACTTCCCACATTACCATACTAAATTGACATACAGTGTTTTCCAGAAGTGATGCTCCATTTGAGTCAAAATTATTTATAGCAAACTACTTGAAACATGTAAATGACGTATCAATGTTGCACTGACATTTAAGCTGCTTTCAGATTTGTCATAGAGCACTTAATGAAAAATATTTTACTTCTAATAAACAAGTATGACTTAACAGGAGAACTCTCTGAAAATATTTAGCTGAAATAGTCAAGTAACTGCTCATCCACTGTGTTTTCATAACATAGCTTCGTTTTGTGGTAGTCATATCCCATATGAAGTCTAGTCTTTCCTGAGGGACATTAAATAAACAAACACAAACCAACAGGCTGGACCAGTGTCATCTTGGTGTACAGGCCTGAAAAATGAAATTCTGCAAGGTTTGTAAGCAGCGTGCAGGGTCTGGCAGTGGGGGTAATGCAGTCTGACGTGTGCATTTGGAGGATTTACTTCTCATCCCTCGGGAGCTGTGATAGTTTATTGCACAGCTGTAAGTTACCCGAGAAGCCTCTTCTCCAGCAATTTTATCTTGCTTCTAGACTAGCAAGACCAAAGAGCTACTGAATTTCAAAAATTCCTTATCAGTACCTTCTTCACTGGTTATGAAGTCAGAGTGTACTCCTAATAACAAAATCAATTAGGTATTCATATACCTCTTGGGCTTACCTAAGAAGCCTTCAGTTCACAGGTTGAAAAAAAATACTAATTTATTATAATATTTCAATATTAAAGATATTTATTATCACTGAGCAGAGTCTGAACCCTTGTATTTAACAGACACAGTAATCAACCTGCTTGCATGGGCTATGGAAATGGATGCTTTTGATGTGGAAGAACTTTTAATAATTACATAGCCTTGCACTTTTTAATGTATTCATCTATTTAACTGATTATAGGTCCTACACAATCCTAATTTTTTTATAGCTTTTATCTTTATAGGTATTTATCTTTACAGCATTTGTAAGAGTTAGAGGATTGCTGGTGCCAAAAAACATGGCTTGACAATTACTACAAATTGATAATTATAGCATATTACTAAAACAGGCAATTCCATTCCTTTCCCTGGCCCCACATCCTTCTCCTTCCCCTGCAGTAATTATAACAACTGTGTGTCCACAGAATAGGAAAGATTCTTTTCCTGATCTGATGGAAAATTATTTTGGTAGTTGAGTTTTGCTGTGGATAAGCTGAAAGCCACAGATCATGCAGTGACTGTAAAACTGTCAAATCCCATACAAGAGAAGAAATGGAAGCATATGACAGCCAAGGACAGGATGACCCTCTTCTGCAGATGTTGCACTTGCAGCAGATCAGGAATAAGGTGAAACCTTTCCCTTAGCCCCCATTAATCCCTTTGAAGTGATAATGTGCCTGTTGCTATCCAGAACTAAGTAAGATAAAACTGGAACCAGCCATTGATGAAAAAGCTACATTTATCGCTAAGGAATAAAACAACAATAAAATCTCAACAGGTCAAAGACATCTTGCAAATTTAGGGTATTTTTAATTTTTAGCTATGTGTGCATGTTCTTTTGTATTCTCGATATAATCTTGTCTTGGTTTGATTCTGTATCTTTTACTAGTGTGGTGCAGACAGGTTTCCTGCAGGTGCATCAAGTTGGTGTTTATCAGAAGATCTCTG